TGCAGTTGGAAGAATCATCAGCTCTCCCAAAAGTATGAGTGTGAAACAGATGGCCGCCGTGGCCCGTGAGCTGACCATTCACGTGGACGAGGATAACAAAGAATGCCAGCATGCTCTTGAATGTGCTTTACAGATTACTAGAGACATAAAAGAGGTAGCAGGATACAAGAAAGGAACACTGATACTCCAAGGCGAACTCTGGAAAAATCTGGCAAAAGTGGAGAAAGAATTATGCAGAATGACAAAACAAGGGGACACGCCTTCAGAAGAATATAGATCTGAACTCAGAAGTAAATTGTTGATGCTGCGTAAGAAACAGAATGAATATGAACCGCAAGCTGGTTTGATTAATTTCATGAATGCTATAAGGCACCTGAACTCTGCAGAGAAGCATTACTTCTTGAAATGGCTGAAATTCAACCTGGACAACATTGCAAGGGAGAATCTTTCAAAATTACGTTCTGAATACAAAGAGCTGTGTAAAATGTTTGGAGACAATAGGAAGAAGATTACGGAGACAGACCAATTAATATCGTCGTCTTCCTTGGGAGTTGAGCATTTCATGCGTGAGTTGGGCCAGTTTTATGAGGCAGAGTGTTCAATGGTTAATGAGGGCAAAATAGCAAAAAACAAAAGGCAATTTCTCCACTTCCCCAATATTGCAGCTGATTTGATGCTGGAAGGGTTTCCTCTAGAACTGATTGATGGAGATGTATCCAATATGCCACTCCAGTGGATAACTGATGTTCTGAATAGACTTAATAAGAAATTAAGGAATCAGTCCAAATTGATGGTGATCACTGTATTGGGAGTGCAGAGTACTGGGAAATCCACCCTTCTGAACACTATGTTTGGCTTGCAGTTTGCTGTCAGCAGTGGCCGATGTACACGAGGAGCCTTCATGATGTTGCTTAGGGTCAGAAAAAAATTGGCAAAAGAGTTTGGCTGTGATTTCATCCTGGTGATAGACACTGAAGGTCTGAAAGCTCCAGAACTAGCCAAATTGGAGGATAGCTATCAACATGACAATGAGTTGGCTACATTAGTGGTTGGG